GGGGGGGATAGGCACCCCGGGGGGGCACCTTGGGGCCTTGTCATCGGCCCACGGGCCTGGGGTGAGAGAACCAGCGAGCTGGCGGGGACCTGCAGCCTCAGCATGCACTCCTGCTGCAGAGCCTAGAAAGATCTCTGCGGTCTGAGCCGAAGGTGGAGCGGCTTTGCTGCCGCCCTGGAGTGAGAAGAACAGGTTGTCCTCCAGAGGAAGCAAAGAGCCCGCGCCTGCTCAGAGCACGAAGCCGTAATTCGTCTCACCCTGGCTGGCCCCAGGAGAGACCCCCGGCGCCCACCAGGGTGCTGTTGATGGAGCAGACTTCAAAGTCATCCTCGTCTTGGGCCACATCATCGTAGGCGGGGGGCGGCGGCAGCGGGCGTGCGTCCCAGTCCACCACAGGCGTGGGGTGCAGGGGCCGGGGCAGTGCCCGCGTGGGGCTCTGCGGTGGTGTCTTGTCCAACAAGGAGCAGGCATCCATGGCCAGCTGCGCCAGCGAGGGTGTGTAGGGCCGTGGGGACGGGACCACCGGCTCCTCGCCGAAGTCAATGAGCGTGACCTCAGCGCCGCCGCCACTGCGGCCGGTCTTGGTGCCGGACACCCGGGCCGAGGGCTTTGTCAGCCACAGCCCCCGGGGCAAGCCCGGCTTCCTCACACCCGGCCTCTTGAAGTCGCTGGACAAGGGGTCTTGGTCCTCGCTCACGGGGTCATAGGTTGGTTCTGCAATGGACGGGAGACCCGGACAGGGGGGCAGTGTCAGGCAGGGGGACAGGGAAGGTGGGGTGTGGGAAGAAAGCCAAGTGTCCCCCACCGACTCCCCCGGAAATTGGCCCTCGGCTGCCAGATTCTCAGTGCACAGCAACCCCACTCACACAGGAGGGCAGCCCTCCACCTGGGCGGGTGAGCCCCGCCTCCCTCAGCTAGAGCGACACCCACACCCACCTGCCTCTGCTGCCCCTGCATCAACACAAGACCCCAAATGCCCCTGCCCCTGGTTAGTAGCCCCTCTGCCTCCCCGTTACCACACACCATTAGTGCAGGCGGGGCTACGGGCAATCTCCCACCACTAAGAGCAACAGGAGCTCCGGGCCCACCATCGTGAAAGCCCAGCCTCTGCAGGTCGCACAGGGAGTGAGGCAGGCCAGGCAGGTGGAGAGGCAGAGGGGGGCACCAGGACCGCCCGCCTGCTCCAGAAGCCCAGGCTTTTCAGGGAGGGGGCGGGGAGGGAGGGGGGGAGTTGAAAGGAGAGGCAGGCATGCTGCGCCAGGTCAGCAGCCAAAGCTCACAGCACACTCACTCCCCCTCCCACCCAGCCAGCCACAGGGCTCTGTACCTTCCAGGAGAGGAGGAAGGAGAGGAGAGAGGGAGAGGGGGCGGGGGCCGAGGCGCCGCCGAGAGCAGCCCCACTTACTCTTAGTGAAGATGGCAGGCTGAGGTGGGCGAGGTGGAGGCTCCCCTGCAGGAAGGGCCATGCAGAGAGGAGAGGGGGCAGAGCAGGACAGACAGAGGACAAGGGAGGAAGGCAGAGCCAGACAGAGAGCAGAGGGTGGAGGGAGAGAGAGGAGAGAGAGAGCAGTGAATAGGGGCGAGTGAACGTACGGACTAAGAGCAATGGGAAGCAATGGGCGGCAGGATGGGGGCTGTTCCGGAACGACAGGCCCAGGGCCCAGGGGGTGGATGAGGCTCCTGGCCAAGATGAAGCCTGTGGGGTGGTTTTGGCTTAGGAGAGGAGAGCGGGATTAGAGTGTGTGAGGAAGGCCTGGCCCAGCATGGCGGAGGAGGAGGGTGAAGAGAGCTCAGGCAGCCGGTGCAGGGCCGACCGAGGAGGCCCACCTCGGCGGATACAGCTGCCTCCCATCTCCCACCCCACACCCAGCTGGAGCCAGGGACACGACTGTCCCCCTGCTGTGCTGACCCAACCATCACAGAGCCAGGACAGCCGGCTCGGAGGTGGCCTGAGAGGACGGTGCCCCTGGGCAGCCAATGAACTAGGGGACGCCAGAGAGTGGGGGCTCTTACTTTTCACCCTTCCCAGATGCTGGGTGGGGCGGGAGGTGCTCAGTTCCACGCTCAGCAGGTCGGGAGGGTCCATAGGGTTTCCCAGATACAGTCTGTGGGGAGAGCACGGGGTCAGAGGCGGCCGGCGTGGGGTGGTGGCAGCGAGGACACCTCTGGAGGAGATGCCGGGGCTGCCCCCTGGGGTCAGGCGTCCAGGGACCACCTCGACCGAGCCCTGCAGACATGGGTCTGGGGCACAGGACTCTGACTCCCAGCAGCTCCCTCCTGGAGAGCCGAGCTGTACCCAGGGGAGGGTGTTGTGGAGAGAGCAGGGAAAGGACTCCTGGCTGCAAGTCAAACGGCTAGGACTGTCGGGGCCCCAAGAACACCCTACAAGGGCAGAGCTGGCCCTCTGCAACCCCCACGGCACCCCAACCCACACCCAGCAGCCACCTGCTGGCACGCTTTCTTCTCTCCTGCCAGGCCCGGAGGCATCCGGCTACACTCCCCGGTCAGGGTGGGCAGGAGACATCCTTCTGCCCCACTGCCAGGGGCGGGGCCACCGCCCTGCTCCCAGCTCACCCTCACCCCTGTGCCGACTGTCAGGATCTGGGACTTAGTCACCGGGGCTGATTAAAGCCTGGAGGAATGGGGCTGGGCTGGCCACGGCACGCCGGGAGCAGGGCAGAGGGCACCCGTCCTCCTTCGGGAGGTGCCTGCTCTCCTGCCCCAACTCTCTCAGGCCCTCACCTGGCTCTTGTGAGTGAGACATACACACAGCGCAGGGTTCTGGTGTGGGGAGCGTGGAGGTGAGGGGCCTGCCTCGCCACGCCCCAGGGCAACACTGTGTCCCAAGTCAGAGGAGCCAGGGCTGCGGAGAGGGGCCTGGAAGTCCCCGGGCAGCAGAGGCTGGAGGCCTGGTAGGGGGAACCCTGGGGTGGGGCCCCCAGGAAGTGACTAATTCCGCTCCTCTCTGCTTACCAGGGGCCCCCCAGGGGCCTCATCCTTTCACTTAAAGGAGACAGAACCCCCCTCCCAGGTAGAGTGAGCAGGCAGGCGAAGCGCTGAACTGCTGCCAACATGAGCTCTGAGGTCTGCCCACAGGAGCTCTCTGTGCCGTGCACCCCGGGGCCGGCCCGGTACTCACTCATCGATCTTGTCGGGGAAGCCCCAGCAGTGGCGGGGGTCGCTGTCGCCATGGCCCGTGTGAATGAAGCTGTTCTGCAGGGGCTGGCTGATGTCCTGGGCCGACAGGCCGGCCACGGAGGTCACCACGTTTCGGGGGAAGGGCCCCACGCACAGCGTCCGTGTGTTCTGCCCGCGCCACCAGTAGTTCTCAGCCCTGCCCGAGAGAGATGGCATGGTAAACACCGGTGTGTGGGACGGCCCGAGGAGCCGGACCCTTTCCACACCACGCTCTTCAGCGAGGCCATCGAACCCCGCTGGCAGGAGGAGACGGGAAGGCCACGGCCCAGGACCAGGCTGGTCTGCCGTCAGCCCGCCCCCTCCCAGCAGCCCCCCATGACCACACCTGGGGCACAGGGCCTGGCTGTTTGCACAAAGCCTTAAGCTACCTAGGTGGGTCACGCAGCTCTTCCTAAACTTCACAATAACGAAACAGGTCCAAACAAGTGACACGGCTTGCCTGCTGTTACCGGAAAGATCGCAGAAGACCCAGGATTCAAACCCAGTTGTTCGTCTGTAAAGCCAGGGCCCTTCTCCCAACACTGTCACCTCCCCTGCCTCCTCCCCTGACCAGGCCTGGGCTCTGGTCCTTTTCTTGCCACCCGATTTCACGCTCCAGCCCAGTACCAAGAGTTCTGAGCTTCAGGGGCCCAAGGGAGGGCCATGGCCTTAGCACTGGGCGTGAAGCCAAGCGCTCCCACCACAGCCTGTCTCCTACATGCAGCTCTTCACATGTGTGGAAGCATTTGGGGCAACCCACACTTCACCGCACCCATTTACATGTCTCCAGTGCCTTCCACCAGCTCCCGGCAGGGCTGTGGGACCTCGCCCTTGCCCCATCCACCTCCTTGGTGGAGCTCTCCTGTCTTAAACCAGGATACAGAAAGGAGCCCAGCCTCCCAGTGTGGCTGGACCACGAGCACCTCGCTCTGACCTCAGCCACAAAACCTGGTAGGCAGCCTGAGCCTCCTAGCGGGCGGTGGGGGGGCGGGGGGGGGGGCAGGAAGGCAAAGAGAACAGAGCGCCCTCCTGGACACTTCAAACACCAATAAGCCACAGGCCCTAAGGCTCCTGCCTCTACGGCTGGGACCACTCACCCCGAGGACGTGGGCAGAATCGGGGCCAAGGCAGAGGTGGTCACAGCCGCATGCTACTGTGGTGGACTCGTGTGGCACCCAGTTGTGTGCTCTCACTGTCAGCCCCCACCCATACCTCACCTGTCCACAGCCAGGAGTGTAAAGAAAGTCTCCTCCAAACTGCAGCTGGGCCGGAGGGACTGGAGGCTGGAAGGAGGCGGTGAGGCCTGAGCACCTGGACCCTCCTCTGGGAGGGGATGCGACCCACTGGGGCAGCAGCAGCCCCAAACGGCGTTTTCCAGAGGCCCAAAGTCAATCCCGTGAGCATCACAGTCCTCAGGGAGCCGAGAGGTGAGGCGAGGGACAGGAGCCCAGCCTCCTTGTAAACAAAGCCACTGACCGGCCACCACAGACACAGCCACCCTGTGATTACCACCCTCCCTCCGGGTGGGAAGGGCAGGAAAGGAAGGAAGGAGAGAGGACAACACCCGGGAAGGAAGAAAGCCCATCCGAAAATAGCAGGGCCATTCCAAGGAGAAAGTGCTCCCCCACCCCAGGGCCGACGGAGGGGGAGGCCGCCTGTGAAGAGGGAGGGAGGCATGCCTGGCACTGGGGACCCGCTGCTGCTCTCCCCAACACTCACTGGCTCCCTAGGTTCTGCGGACCCTCCACAGAACTGTTTTAGACACCAGCCCAAGGGCGGAACGCTGGACTCTGCTCCATACGCCTCGTCAGAGGCCCTCGCTATCCTGGGTGAGCAGCACGGCGGAGGCGGAGATGCCGTGCAGAGGCCGAGGCCTCGGCCTACCCTCCGGTGTGGCCTGCGCAAAGCCAGACTGGCAGGAGGTCACTCGATCCGCTTCTTTCCTTTGCCAACAAGCCAAGCTCCTTCCACAGGAGCCTCATGTGGACTCACTTCGGAGAGCACGATGGGACGCCAAGCCCACCTCCCTTCATTACAGGGATGGCGAGGCGAGAGCCCCATGCCTGCTGGGCGTCCTGACACCCCTCAAAAACATCCTGTTCCTAGGGGAGAAGTCAGAGTGCAGAGTGTGTGTGAGTGTGTGTGTGTGAAAGAGGCCCCTTGGGAATTGCACCCCAAGCACATCGGCCTGACAAGACTCAAATGTACCTCCTGAGACAGCCAATGAGTTGGCCAATGCTGCGTCCCCTGAGGCTCAGTGGGACTGAGGTACCAAGCCCAGTGCTCCCCACCAGCCTGCTCTGGCCACACCCTCCCTTCCCCTTCCACCAACAGACCAGAGTCTCCACGGCAACAAGAGGACCAGGCCCACCATGCCATCAGTCACTGCTGCAAAGACAGACACAGAGGGGGAGTCCCTAGGGGAGTGAGGGCCCAGTACCTCCAGCAAGAATGTTCTACTTCCTGCTTCCTGCCAGTGTCCTGGGACAGGCAAAATATGACACATCACCTCGGAAACCCAGGCCTGGCTACAGTGGCCCCAGCCCCATTGGGAACCAGCCTCTGAAATCCCAGCCCCGGCCCCAGTCCTGGCCTAAGGTAATCCAGAAATGGCTGACAGATGTTGGTTACGCATTCAAACCCACCCAGCCCACTTCCCTCTGGTGCCCCAGGAGCCGTGGGCTCGAGGAACAACACAGACCTTGCCTCCCCCTGCCCCACATTCTAAAGGCATCAGAGGCTCCAGGGACCAGGCCAGGCCAGGGACCTGCAGGACTGCAAAGCCTTGTCCCTGTTTTCAGTTCTGTAAACACAGAAGAGAGAAGTGCTACCAGCCATCCCAGCCTCCAAGTAAGAGCCCCGGAGACGAACAGGCACCGTCCGCCCATTCTAGACCGAGCCCCGCAAGCGCGGCTCACACAACATCGAGGGGTCTCTCTGCCTACTGCCCGGTACCCCGAGAAGCACTGAACTACATACAGAATCAGCCAGAGCCGAGGACAAGGGGGTTCCCAGACTCCGGACTAGGAAACCAATACTGGAGATAGCTTCCGGCAGACCAATTCGACACCGACAGAAGAGGGCAGATATGGAGAGAGCTGAGAGCCAGGCTGAGAGGAGACAGAGAAACAGCCAGCCACCCACACGTACAAACACAGACCCAAAGCGACACACAGGAGCAGAGAGCCCATCCACCCGGACACACGGAGACAGAGCCAGCCCCACCGAGATCCGGGCACTGAGAAGACAGGGGGCAGAGCCGAAGCTCTGGTACCACTGACCTACGGGCCCACTCGCAAAGCCCCACCGGCTACAGCCTCCCGCCCCTCACCTCCCACTCCGAGACGCTCCAGGGACCAAGGGCAGGCGCTGTGGTCCACGTCGCTGGTGCCCTGGAGGAGGAGCCCGGCGAGCCCACACTGGCAGGCAGCAGGGAGTCTGTGACAGAAGGCAGGGCAGGGCATGCCCACAGCAGCCTCCTGGGAGGAGCGGTCCCCTCCTCCCCCTCCCCCTTCCTCCTCCCTCCCTTGCTCCGGAGGTGACCCGGGGTGCCAGCTCCAGAGACACACGCCTTAGAAACACAAGGCGCTTCTGAGTCACCCGAGGAACACGGGGCCCGGCACCCAGAACCCCCACGAGAGCAGGGCCGGGGCGAGTGAGGGCCTGGACCCTCCTCTGTGAGGGTTGTGACCCCCTGGGGCGGCAGCAGCCCCAAACGGCGTGCGCAGGGCACAGAGGGGCCGGGGACCTGGGGTCCTGGAGGTGGGGACGGCTGTAGCCCAGACTTCTGGCTTGCGAGCTGCCATGCACCTCCAGAGGGGCCCTCACCCTAATCTTCCTATTTCCAGAAAGTTCCCCAAAAGGCCAGGCCTGCAGTCCCTCTCCTGGCCCCTCCACTCCAAACCACAGCCTATGTTCCTTCCTGCCCCTCAGGCCTCTATCCTAGAAGCTCTCTGCTTTCATCCACTGCCACCAACACGCTGGTTTTAATTCTTATTCCCAGATACTGTGCCCAAAGGCGAGGGGAGCCTGGCCGAGGGATGAGGTGCTGGGCCACGGCAGGTGCAGGTCATGCTCCTCCACAACCAGCCTGGGTCCCAGCACCAGCTCCATCGCTGACTCAGCCCAGAGGCTCTGCCCTGTCACCAACCCCCACGTGGCACAAGGTTTAACCAAAGGCCCCGACCCCCCAAGCCTGAGGCCCAGGTGGAAAGGGCTCTGTGGGGAAACGGCCTCTGCCCCCATCCCTGCCTGGTTCCGAATCAGAGGAGCCGGGGCACAGGGAATTTCCTCTCCCTCCCTCCCTTCCGGCCCTCCATGCCCACCACCTACTCCAAAGGCACCTCCAGCTTGCCCTGCCCCAACCAGTTCCTCAGACACCCCGAGGCTCAGATAACAGAGGATGGGGTGAGCGGTGGGTGGGGCTCCAAGGCAGGCGCCTGCGGGGGCTGCTGGTCGGAGACGTGACTCAGAAGATGCTGCCCATAGGCAGACAGACATGCTGCCAGGAGTGAAGGGCACGGGAGGCTCAGGAACAGAGGCCCTGAGAGGGGAGCCTGAGGACGGGGGCCAGGGTGAGGGGCCCAGCAGGACGGAGGGGAGCCCAGGGGGCTCGGAGGGAGGGTGGAGGCTGCCAGGATGGGCGTGGGGCTGCCTTGGGGTTCTGAAATGCACCCAGTTGTGTAGTTAAGAGTCCTTATCGGGCCCCACCTGGGTGGCTCAGTTGGCTGGAGCATCGTCCCATACACGAAGAAGGCTGTGGGTTTGACTTCGGTCATGGCACACCCCTAATTTGTAGGTTTGATCCCCAGTCAGGGCAGGTGTGGGAGGCAACTGTTCAATGTTTTCCTCTCACATCGATGTTTCTCTCTCTCTCCATTCCTCTCTCTCCAAAATCAATGAACATATCCTTGGGTGAGAATTAAAGGGGAAAAAAAAAAAAGAGTCCTGACCCTGGGAGGAGGTGGGAAGGGAAGGGGAGGATGAGAGGAGGAATGTTTAGGAGATCCAGCGTCTCCAGGTGTGGCCCTGAGGCCTGGCTGCCTCACCACCATGGCAGTTTGGCCCTGACCCACACAGCCAGGGCTGGAGCCGAGTGGGAGAAGGGTGACGGAGGCGGACTTCGCAGGGGAAATCCCTCTGAGCGGTGCACCTGCAGACTTAACCCCCAGCACTCAGATGCAGACCCAGCCTGTCCTCCCTGCCACCGCGCAGCTCGAGCCTACCACAGCCTGCGTATTGCCAAGAGGACCTTGGAGGCAGGACCTTGGAGAACCTCTTGGCCAGCAGGCCCTCCACCCTGCACCTTTCAAGGCAGTGCAGGTGCAGCCGCAGGCTCCCTACCTCCCCTCGATGACGGTGATGACATCGTTCATCTGGATGTGCAGCTTGTCTGGTTCCTCAAAGTCCTGGAGGGCCCGCATGTCAGTGGGCTGGGCCTGAGGGTAGAGACAGGTCACTCCCCACTCTGGGACTGACCCCTGCGTGGATACCCCAGGACCCGTGGGCAGACCTGCCCTTACCTCCAGCAGGAAGTCCCTCAGGGCCACAAAGGTGGGTCTGTCCTCCGGTTTGTGAGCCCAGCACTGGACCATGACATTGTAGATGTCTTGGGGGCAGTCCTCGGGCCGGGGAAGACGCTCCCCTTCCTTGTCAATCTTATGCAGGATCTGGAGAGGGGGAGCAGTTTGAGTACAAGCAGAGCACCCACCCTCCCTCCGACCCTCCCTCCGGCCCATGGAACAACTGGCGCTTTGGGCGTCCATGCCCGCACCCCAGAGAAGAGGGGGGCAGAGTCTATCCCCAGGCCTCACTTTTATCCCCAGGTCTGGGGCCTCTGAACAGGTGGCTGTGGCAAGGACTAAGAATGGGAGCAAGCGCCACCTGCTCCTTTCCTGACCACTGGGGGCCCTTGTCTTTGCTCAGCTTTCTGAGAGAACACACAGATATGGAGCCTGGGGGACAGGACTCCAGCAGGTAAAAGCCAGTTCCAACAGGGCCAGGTTGGGAGCCAGGAATCAAATCAACCCGCTCCCACCCTACAGGTAGCACATCCCCAGCCCCTCACCTGACTGCCATTAAGGCCAATCCAGGGCTCCTGGCCATAGGTGAACATCTCCCACAACGTTACCCCAAACATCCAGGTGTCGCTGGCATGGGAGAAGGTGCGTGTCTTCAGGCTCTCGGGGGCACACCTGGCAAAGGCAGGGGTCAAACAGAGGCCTCTCCGAGCATCCCCACCCACATCAGCCCCAGTGGACATAAATGCTCACTCAACAAACATGTTGCTGCCCCATGTTCTAGGCTCAACAGCAGGTACTAGGGACGTATGAAGGGGAAGGGCAGCGCGTCTGAACTATGGGATACACAGACTTGCAGAAAATGATGAATGCTCAGGTTTTTACACACATGCGGCCTGCAGTGGGAAGAGGGTGAAGCTGCCAGGTCAGGAAAGCAGGGAAAGGAAGACGGTCAGAGGCTCTAGGAGGGGCAGAGGGAGGGGGACAGAGCTCCGGCTGTTTAATAATTGTGGTGGGAGGATGACAACTTCCAGATTTGGGGCAGGATCCTAGCATCTGGGTCATTTCAGCAGGAAGGTGTGGGTGGGAAATTTGGATAGGGCCTGGGGAAGAACAAAAACGGGTGAAAACAGTCACACCAGCTTCACGCCAATATCCGCACACGCTCTCTGGGATGCCCTCTGGGTGAGGAGGACAAGCACCACTGCAAAGGGGAATCCCAGCAGCGCTGCTCAGCGGGAGGAGGAAGCCACTCTGGATGAAGACTCACAGGACCTCTCATGGGACTGGAGAGCTAGCCCTGCCACTCAAAGGGGTGGGGCCAGAGAAGGTCACTCTCAGCCTCCTAGTCCTCATCTGTGAAATGGGAATACAGTGGGGCCTTGACTTACGAGTTTAATTCGTTCGGTGATGGAGCTCGTAACTCAAATTACTCGTATGTCAAATCAAAAAGTGAACGAGTGAGACACTCGATGCTGGGCTGATGTGGCGTTCACTGTGACGTTCGGTGCGCCAACTAGAGGTGGGGTATCTGAAGCTGGCTCGTAATCCAAATTTTAGCTCGCAACTCAAAGCAAAAAATTGGCCGAGACGGCTCGTATCTCGAAAAACTCATTAGTCGGGACACTCGTAAGGCAAGGCCCCACTGTAATAATAATCTGCTCACTTCACAGAGCTGTTTCAAGAGGGCTGCATAAAAATAGGTGACCTTATAATTACCATCCAAACCAGGATGCTTGGGTATGAAAGGGGTGCTATCAACTCCTCCGGGACAACAGGCACAGCCCAGGATGCATGATCCCCTAGGTATCAGGTCAGTTACTAAGCAGGGTGACTGTACATCCTGGATTAGAAGGTTTTCTGGCCAGCTGAACCAGACCGACTCCTCCCACCTCAAAGCAGGGAGACCAAGCTCCTGTGGGTGCCTTCGACACCGGACGATGACGCTGGTCTCAGCACAGGACTGGCTCACACCGGGGCCAGGCAGGGCCAAGGACCACCTTGTGTGCAGGTGAACATCCCTGCTCGGTCGACAAAGTCTAGCCTGGCCTGGCCCTGCCTTCCACTAGCTCTTCCTGGAACATGCTTACCAACCAGTCTTTACTTGGCTAACTTCTGATATTTTAGGAGCTTAATACTGAGTCCTCCAGAAAGCCCTTTTCCCTGTGTGTTCCAGTGCCTGGCACATGAAAATTCCTGAATGAATGAGTGAATGAATGGGCACACAAGGACACCCCGGGCCCAGAGGAGACCAGGGCTGTTGTGGGTATAAAGGATCCAGATACTCCGAGCCTCGGAGTGCAGGGACCAGGGTGGGGTGGGGTGGGGCCCGGGCTCTGTGAGCTGGCGGCACCAGCCCCTCACCAGGCAAAGGGCACCTTGCGATGCTCCTGCATGACGTAGTGGTCGTCATTCTGGGGGAGTGCTCGCATCAGCCCGAAGTCCCCGATCTTGACCAGGTCGCGTGTGGCCAGCAGCAGATTGCGGGCAGCCAGGTCACGGTGAATAAAGCGCTTGGACTCCAGGTAGCCCATGCCCTCAGCCACCTGCACAGCATAGCGGCTCAGAGTACCCAGAAGGAAGTGGCCCTGGTGCTTGCGAAGCCGGTCCAGCAACGATCCCAGAGGCGCCAGCTCTGTCACCTGAGGCCACGGAGAAGGTGGGAGGAGTAAGTGTGGCTGAGCCCTGCCCCTCCCTCAGCATCCTGCCAGAGCCACGCTCAATGCTCCTTCCTGGCCTGGCCTCTGCGGACCTCTGGGAGTCCTACAGCTTCCCCAGCCTCTCTCTCTCGGCAATGTGGGAAACTGAGGCCCAGAGAAGCAACCCGAAGAGGCTCATGTTAGAAATTCCACAGATTACACTCTAGGACCAGCTCCTCCCATAGGTGTTACTCTGCCAATGAATACAAGCAAAACGCAGAGGTGGGCATGGGCTCCGAAGGACACGGTCGGTCCCAGGCTAGGGGCCCCTGTGAGCCCCTTTGCCACATCAGGTGGGGGACCAAAGCAGGATCTGGGGGGACCGCTGACCTTTGTCAGGACAGAAGTTACCACAGCACAGGCAGGAGAAGGGGCGGACCTGGGGCCCGGAGACCACAGCCAACGCCCACGCACGGCACTCACCATCTTCATGGGTGGCGTGAGCACCACACCATAGAGGCGAATGAGGTTGCGGTGGTCAAGCGAATGCATGGCATTGACTTCCCGGATGAAGTCGTCCATGGCCTCTGGCTGGCTCAGCACATCAGGCTTCAGGCACTTCACAGCCACACTCACCTGCCCAGAGTGGAGATTGCACGGAGTCAGGACAGGCCCCAGGCCCCAGGCCCCAACACTATGAGCCAACCTGCTCCTCCCTCCAACTAAGCTCAAACATCCTGGCTTCAGATCTGCTCATCTGGGTGGGTGAGCATGTCACAGGTGCCCTGGCTGGCTGGGGCAGGGCAGCTGGCCGACCCCCAGGGCCATTGGCTGGGCCTTCCTTTCCTGAGGGAATGCCCAGATTAAATAGCAACCATTTGGTAAAGATGACCAGAGTGATGATAGGGTATTAAAATGTGATAAAGTGTTATAAAACATTAAAAATGGTTTGGTGTAGGAGAAAAATGCTTTAAATCTAATCCCAAACCACTAATCTATGGTGACAGAAGTCAGAACAGTGGCCTTCCCTGGAGGGAGGAGACACTCAGCGCAGGAGGGAGGAGGCCCTGGTGGCGGGAAATGCCGATACCATGACCTGGGTGTGGCTGCCTGCATCTGTGCGCAGGTGAACACTCACTGAGCTGGACACTCAGGAGCTGCACCTTTATTATATACATGCTATGGATGCCTCTGGGGGGAAATTTCAAATAAAACACCAAGAGAAAGGGCAAGAATTTAGAAGTTATATTTAAATTTGTATCTTAACTAAATGCAACAAAATACCTGGGGGGGGGGGGGGGCAGAAATGCTAACTGCTTCCTGATTAGTGAAAGCACAGCAATTTCCCCCTTACTTTTAAAACAGTTTCCAAACTTTTATAATAAGTTATTTGTATAATTTTAAAAAGAAACAGCTGTGTCTAGTTAAACCTGAGAGTAGAATCCAGGGCAAGAACTCTGCAACCTGTCCCCAGCCCCCTTCACATCCTAGGCGAGGGGACAGAGCCACTCTGAGGGCAGAGTGGGGCTCTGCCGGTCTCCTGGGGGCCTGTCCCCTTGCTACACCCCACAGGACCTGGGCAGCTCACCGTCTTCCCCGAGGGGGCGTCCCACTCGCCCCTGCGCACCACGCCAAAGGAGCCGTCTCCGAGCTTCTCGAAGAGACGCAGGTCCTTCTCCCCAATGAGGCAGGTGAGGCTCTGCAGGGGCCCCTCCCCTGCGGGGCCACCAGGGGTAGGCGAGGTCTTCGGGAAGGCGCTCTGAGAGTGATGAGGGGGGAACTCAGCCTCCAGCCGCTTTCCACTGAACACCTGTTTGAAGGCAGCCAGAGGCCAGATGGGACCCTGAGGCCACAGTCCTGCCCCAGCGGGCCCTCACGTAGCCTCCAGATAGGTCCTGGCTTTGCCAAACTCCCGGGGGGGGGGGGGGGGGGGGTAGCCTGGCTGGAGGTCCAAGCCCCCTCCTGACCACACCCCCAAGACAGGAACCCAGAGCTTCAGTGTGGCCTCAGGGCGGGTGTGTGTGTGGCAGAAATGGACTGACAGGCATGTAGCTTGTGGCTACTGTGGCCCCACACCCAGCTGGGGGATCCGGGGCAGCCCAAAGCTACGCTAGGCACCACCTTCCCCCCATCCATCCCTTTCTGCACCCCCTCCCCAGAAGAGACTCCAGGCCCTAACCGGAGCAGATGGGTAGGAGCCTAAGGGGCCTGCCACAAACACCTCTCTGTCCATTTTTAGCCTTGGCCCCTTCTCTGGGCTGCCCATTTGGTGCTGTCTGTCTCCACCCTCCCCGGGGAGCCGGCTGCCCTTCTTCCTGCCAGAGCAGAGGATAATTTGAGCCTGAGGTTAGCCTGTGAGTGTGTGGGGGGTGCAGATGAAGCAAGGCCTTGCTGGGGAAGGGCCTGGGAAGACAGCTGGGTTTCTGGAGGGCCGCCGAGAGCTGAGGGCTGAGAAAGAAGGGAGACGAGAAAGAACTCTGCAGCCTGAGCTGGACAGGGAAGGGGACAAAAGTCAGGGGACAGGAGGAAGGAGGCCCTGAGGGTCAGGGCTGGCCTGTCAGTTGGATTTGGCCACCCCTACAAAGCCTTGGCTTCAGGCTGCAGAGCCTACCCAGCCGGGCCCCTGCCCCCAAAGCTGGCAGAGTCTTATCTGGACGGACAGTCTCCAATCTGAGGGCCTCTTCTGGCTGCTGCTCTGTCCTTCCTCCCAGTAACTGGAATCCCTGACGCTTGCAAACAATGTTCAGCTGACAGGACCGTGCACACAGCCGGTGAGGTGAGGTGAGCCGGGCAAGTGTGGCAGCACCGTCCGACCGAAGACAAGCCTCACGCCTCGAGTCTGGAGAGGTTCAATGACCGGCCCGGGAACCTCCTGCGAGTCCGCGGTAGATCCAAGACCCCGGAAACCTGGCACATTGCACAGCCTTTCCCTCCTGCCTTCACCCGCCCCAACATGCTCATTCTTCCCTAAAACCTGGGCAAGGGACCAGGACAGTGTCCCCAGAAAAGGCCACAGGATCCCAAGAGACAGCCCCTTTGCCAGATCGCAGCCAGGAAATCTCTGCTGTCCAATCCGGTCCAACTGTGCTGCCCTGCCTGCCCCCCACCCCAGCCCCGAGGCCAGAAGTGGGGAGGGAAGGCCCTGGCTGTTTCATTTCCTCCCGCATTGTCTTCCAGACAATGGGCAAAGCTCCACTGAGTCAGACCAGGGACTCACCACTCCACAGACCCAAATTAGGACAAAGGAGAGGGAAAGAAGCTGTCAGCAAGGCCAGATGACCAGAGGAACCCTCCACAGACTGAGGAGGGCGGGGAGGAGGGAAGCAATGCAAAGATGTGCTGGGTCCAGACAGTCCGCACTACCCCAGGCTTGACACCAGCCCCCAAACTCAGACAGAGCAAGGGCTCAAGTTACGGTGTACTTGTCAGCCAGTGCCTGCTGCAGGCCCGGCACCATCGCAGAGCGGGAGCGGATGTGAAGCCAGGGCTGTACACAGGCTACTCACGTGCCGTCTCTAGCGGAGACAGACACTCAGCCAGGCAGCTCCACAAGTGCCCTGCCCGATAAGATCCTGGAGGAGGGAGGTCTGTACAAAGTGTGAGATTATACTGCCCAGGAATGGGGGGAGTTTCCTAGGACGGACATCAGAGTGGGGCCCCACGAGGCTGCTCCCGCCCGTCTCACTCCTTGTCCACCTACCTTGCTCATCCAGGACTTGCGCTTGCACATGGCCTTTCTCCTCTTCACAGCCTCCCACAGCCGCCGCTGGCCTGCAGGGGGGACAGGAGCCCAATGTTATTAAGGCTCACGCCCCCCGAGAGGCTGCTGCCCACTGCAGGCTCCCTCTGTCTCCCGTGGTGAGTCCACCACTAGATACTGCCCAGCACAATGAAACCAAGGAAACAAACCATCCCAACCAACCAGGGGCTGCAATTATTAGATGATCCTGCATTCCATTTCTAGGCAGTGGTTCTTGAACTGGACGGAGGTATTTAACCACCAACACTGAACAGTAGTTCTCTGTTCCCAATTTCCAAGAGCAATGGAAATCAAGGTAATAGAATTTTCCCAATTTTGAGTTTTTCTCCCATAAAATTTTATTATCTTACTGGCATCAGACACCAACTATCCAGGCCAAAAGTAGCAGAAGTCAATGTCTAATTCAGCACACTATTACTTATTGAGCTGCTTTAAGTTGAACGCACAAATAAGTTTCTATGTCCTATAAGGAACACCATGAGTTCTATATGCTGCAACCACTACTTTTAGGATCAATACATTCTGATTGACCAGATCTCTGTGAGAGAGACAGAGAAAGAAAGACAGATCAAGAGAAAATCAGCAAACCATCTGAGGGTTTTTATCTTCTCTTCTTCACACAAATCTCTGGATACTGAACCCTGGGTGTTCAAACTGGCGAATAGGACAGACTCAATTCTACAGGTACAGGTATAAAGGAAGAGAAGGTGGAAGAAATGCATCCTACAAATGTCTGAACAAACCAGAGGGCGGTAGTTAGTTCTGAGTAGCCAGAGCTTTAAGTGAGACTCCTCGAAGTCCCATTCACCTTTACAAGTGCAAACTGTCCTCACGCACTGACTGTGTGCGGCATCTACTGAGGCCCCTCCACCCCACCGGGGGCTCTTGGACAGGCAGGGAGGGTTCTCAGCTATGCCACTCCATGCAATATAGGGGGGAGGGCTCCTCCATGTGCTTGGCAATCCTGAGGACAGAGGAGGCAAATGGTCAGTGGGGAAATGACAAGCAAGGCCCACGTCCCCACCTACCAGGCCGGCCCATGCCAATCTTCTCCAGGTCCTCATTCTTGACATACTCAAAGTGGGACAGGCGGGTGACATTGAGGTCGTCGCGGAGCCGCAGGAAGTACTGTTGCAGCTGCACCTCGGACAGCAGCTCCAGCAGCCAGCCTGTACCCTCTTCTGGCTGCATGCTGCTGCTCCCCAGCCTCTGTGGGGAAGAAAGAGTGAATCAGGGCCCGGCCAACGTGGCTCAGTGGTTGAGGGTCGACCTATGAACCAGGAGGACACGGTTCGATTCCCTGTCAGGGCACAAGCCTGGATTGCAGGCTCGATCCCCAGTGTGGGGCGTGCAGGCGGCAGCCAATCAATGATTGTCATCATGGATGTTTCTCTCTCTCCCTTCTTCTCTGAAATCAATAAAAATATATTTTTTTAAAAGACAGCCATAAAAAAAGAAATAAATATGTTAAAATAAATAATTTTTTAAAATATTATTGTTGTTGTTTTAAAAAAAGAATGAATCCAGGACCTAGGGATACAGGGAGGTAAAAGGGGACCCTGCCCGAGTGTGCTGGGCTCATCCACATCCTACTCTGCTGCTTCCAGGATGGATTAAAATCACCTTCTTGCTCCTCAAAACAGCTGCACAGAATAGCAGATACCCACCTGCCCCCTTTCTTGCCAGCAACAAGGGTAGAATTAGGACAGTTGGGATGCAGCCCAGGCGCTGGAGTCAGGGTCTTACTCACAAAATCTGTGGCTGGCCCTAGCTGGTTTGGCTCATGGATAGAGTGTTGGCTGCAGACTAAAGGGTCCCAGGTTCGATTCCGGCCAAGGGCACATGCCCAGTAGGCTCAATCCCCAGTAGGGGATGTGCAGGAGGCAGCCAATCAATGATTCTCTCTCATCATTGATGTTTCTATCTGTCTCTCCCTCTCTCTTCCTCTCTGAAATCAATAAATTAAAAAATTTTTAAAAAAAAAAATCTGTGGCTCGGTGACCTGAGATCAACCTCTGTGTTCTCAGGTTCCCTGTCGGCTCAAACTCTCTTGGGGTCACAAACCCTTTAGAATTTGATGAAAATGATTTGGTCTCCAGGGGAAATAACACATTCTTAATCATAAAGTTTCACTCAAAAAATTGGAGGTTACAGGGTCCCTTGAGACACCTCCATGGGTTGGTTCTCCAGACCTGAGGGACCCCACAGAAAGGACTCAGGGCTAGATGAGTCCTCCCAATGTTTGATATAGCAGAGCCTCTCTCCCCAACCCAAAGCCCTCCCCACAAGTGCCTCCGGGACCACAACGAGTGGGAGACAGAGGGACAGGCAAGGGCTGGAGGGAGTGGGGGCTTTCAGATCCAGCTCAAAGAGGCAGCATTGCTCAGCTCCTGTCAATGGCTATCACAACAGAGTGAGGCCCAGTGTTACCAAAATTTGCAATTTTTTCAAGAAATACTAGCTATCTATATGTGAAATCTATAATAATAAAAGCATAATATGCTAATTAGACCGGATGTCCTTCCTGACGTCCTTCCAGACGAAGTCGGGCTACGAGGGAAGCCCGTGTCCCTGGTGCCTGCCGGCGGCCAGAGGGAAGCCTGGGTCCCAGATGCCAGAGGGAAGCTGGTGCCGGCAGCCAGGGGAAGGAAGGCCTACTCTTGCACGAATTTCATGCATCAGGTCTCTAGTCTTGCCATATTTTTTTTTTAAAGGTAATATAAGCACATGGTAAAATATTCAAAAGGCACAAAGGAGCCATAAAGTCTCATTCCCTCCTCTATTGCACAGCCACCTAGCTTCCCTCCCCAAAGCCAGATGCCATCAATAACTTTGCAGATCTTTCCAGATTTTGTTTTGTTTTTTAAAGAGGAGCTTTCTTCTAAAGCTTTTTATTTATTTTTTAATCCTCACCCAAGGATATTTTTTCCATTGATTTTTTTAGAGAGTGGAAGGGAGGGAAGTGGGAGAGACAGACAGAGAAAGAAAGACATCCATTGGTTGCCTCCCATTCACACCCCAACCCGCCCCAACCAGGGCCAGGGATCAAACCTGCATCCCAGGTCTGTGTCCTTGAATGGTAATTGAATCTGCGACCCTTCGGTCCAAGGGCCAACACTCTAACCACTGAGCAAACCAGCCAGGGCTTCCAGAGTTTGTGTCCCCCCGCCACATATACACACACACACACACACACACACAAATACTGTTCCTACATCCTTCTGTTTCTTGTTTTCACTTAACATTATCTTTCTCCTCTGACTTTTTTGTTGTTGTTAATCCTCACCAGAGGATATTTTCCATTGATTTTTAGAGAGTAGAAGGAAGGAGGAGAGACAGAGAGAGAGAAACATCGATGTGAGAGAAACACATCAATTGGTTGCCTCCCGCATGCGCCTCAACCAGGGCCAGGGATCAAGCCTGCAACCGAGGTATGTGCCCTTGACTGGAATCAAACCCAGGACCCTGCAGTCCACAGGCCGACGCTCTATCCACAGAGCCAAACCGGCCAGGTATCTCCTGACTTTTTAAACTATGTCAACTAATTCAAGTTTGAAACACACACACACACACACACACTCTCTCACATGACATACTCTATGTTGGCCAGACAACACGTGCTTGCAGGCCACAATCAGCCAAAGCCCCACCAGTGAGTGACCTCTGATCTACACTTTCTTGGGCCCAGAGAAAGAGGCCAGTGGCACCCTCAAAACTAAGCAACCTGACCCACCAGACACCAAGCCCATCCCTGTCCAAGTAAGGCACCTCAGAGCTGAGAGGTTGGCCAGGCCAGCCCCTGGCCCATGTTCAATCCCAGAGGTATTTAACAGTGAGGAAACGGGCAAGGCAAAAGGTCAGCTGCCCGCGACCCCATCCTCCCCAACTCAGAGGTTGCCTTGTCCCTCAGCTCTCATCACGGGTCACACTGAAAAGCAGGCTCTCGGAGCGCTCACAGCCTGGGCCCAGCACGAGCCTCCTGCCCCCACAGTTCCCAGAGGTGCTGCCAACCCAATGCCAGGAGTTCAGACTTTCCCAGGCAGCTCAGGGCAGTACAGAGAGTGACAAATGGGAACCAGAGGACCTCAGTTCAAAACCTGGTTGGCTCTCCTGCCAAGGTGGCTGGGCCACAGGGGGTTTCCAAACTTTAAGCCGTAACCCTTTACCCAGAAGGTTCTCACAAAGGCTGGACCGCCCCCTAGAGGACGTTTCTGGTTGTCACAATGTTGGGGGGCCACTGGTGGTCTTTAGGGGAGACAAGAATGTGAGTTACCCTGTAATGCACAGGAGAGCTTCACACACTGTCCCAAATCCCATACGACTTCATTCACGGAGGTGAAAAATTTGTTTGTAATCATCTGAATCTAGAGTCGAATTCCATTTTACATTGAACAAAAAAATATTTTTGCAGTCTTGATACATACCGAATTTTTCTGGAATGGAACTAGCGTACTGTGTTAACTGAGGGAAAACTGGCCTTTGCTTTGTTCAGAACTTAGCAAAAGTTGGTCACTATTCAAAAAAAAATGGTCACTGAAGGCAACCCATCCTTACTCTTTCAAAACACCCCTCTCAGTCAGCACTTGTAGATGGTGCTTCCTGGTGGTGCTACAGGAGGTCTTAGCGTCAACTTCATTCTGTCAGAGTGCACTGACACAGAATACATGAAGTGGTGTAATTACTTTTAATTCTCTTTTATAGTACAGGTGGCATTACATTTGTTGACTGACTGAACGTAGCATACACAGTAAGCATGTTATATTTCTATTAATTTTAAGAATAACAATAAAAATAACTAACACTTCAACTACATTACTATATGCTGGGCACAGTGCCAAGCATTTAGCAGTATTAACTCATCCTCAGAAAACCATCTGTTATAAACAAGGGGTGTGGGCTTAAGAGGGAGGGACACCACTGCCTTCCAGAAGAAAACCCCAAAGGTGCACTGTGACATCACTGCCCTCGGAAAGTCTCCGTGGCCGGGCCGGTGGGGCGGGGCCAGCTTTTTCACGGACAACCCCTCCCCAACATGGCTCAGCCTCCAGATGGGGCTTGCCACCAGGGCAAGCGGTCTGAAGGTCCTCTCCTCTCCTTCCCCAGTGCCCCAACTCCAGGGCTCCAGGGTCCCCCTGCCCACCCTCCTCTGGGGCAGGAGGCAGCCACTCCTGAGGACAGCTCAAAGCCATGCTCTGGTGTTCAGGGCTAGGGAAGACCCAGAGGTCCCTCCCCTGAAGAGCACAGTCCAACCTGTTCCTCTCCCCTGAAATACCAGCTGACAAATCTCCCCACTCAGCTGGACACTCTCCTCCCTGCTCCCCAAGCCCAGGCAACAGAGGGCCGTGTGTGGGAAGACTGAGAACACTGGGATCCCAGTGAGCAGATAGCAGGCAGGCTCCCAGTCCTGTCTCTACCACCAAGCCCAGGATGACCCTGGACAAGTCCCCCCCTCACCCCTACCTGCCCCTCCAGCCCAAGTTTCTTTGTGACGCTCAGAGCACAGCTGCAGCTGTCCCCCATGTGCCTGGGCCCCAGCGCACCCAGAGCCCGCACACCTATGTCTGACACGTGTAGCTCTCGAGGCGGCATGCACATTTCCCAAGTACACCCTTCTAACACTCGCCAACAAGAATGCAGCACCAGAGGGGAGAAGCCACTCAGCCCAGACCCCCCCGGGGGGTCCCTCACTAAAGGGGTCCCTCCGCCTTTCCCAGTCCTGCTCTCTGCCCCTCAGTGAAGTGCTGGCTCTGAGGAGCTGATCCAGTCTCCAGCCAGTCCGCCTGGCCCCAGCCCCCCACTCACTGTGTATAGTCTTCGCCGCAGCCTGGCCAGGAGAGGAAAGGAGAGCTCTAGGCCAGGGAACCGACGAGCTGCTGGCATCTCCACGGAGCTGGACCCCTGACTGGGTCCCTTGGACTTTGGCTTGAGAAGTGGGGGAGCAGGGACCTCAGCTTCTAAATTTCAGGTCCTGCCCAGAAGGGAAGCTGGCCAGAGGTCTGCCCTAGGAGCCCCCAAAATCCCACACCAGGGTTGGGATGTAGGGCAGAAGAAGAGGGTAGGTCCCCTTCTCTGCTGCACAGCTATTTCCACAGCTGGCTAGTCTGCCAGGGAGCAGGTTGGCTCTTCTCTGGACTGCCTGCAGCCTGAGTCCTCTCTGTCCTGTTTCTCTGTCTTCTCTCCAGAGCAGTGGTCACAGCTCCAGCCCTACTCCCTGGCTCCCCCTCCCGACTGCCCTCCCTCTCTCCCTCCCTCCCTCCTCCCTCCCTCCCCAGCTGAGCAGCTCTGACACTGGCTGAAAAAGGACCTTTCTGAATCACTGCCAAGAAGGCGGCGGGAATGGGGGGACTCTTCCTTCCAGCCACCCGCACTGGCCCCCCTGCCTCCCCATACACAAGGCCCCCTGTCTCTGGCTTCCACCCCAGCCCCCATAGTTGCAGACAACTCCTGGGATTTTAGGGTGGGGGCTATGTGAATCAAGCAGCAATGTACAGAGAATGGTTGCAGGCTCCCATATGGGCTTATCTGGGGCCTGGGAGCTGGTACATAGCCTGAGTGAGGGGCTAGGACCCCAGAGTCATCCCTGGATCCTGCAGGCAGACCCTTCGGAGACCCTCCCCCATCTCCCAGTCCCAGCCTTGGCTGGGCGTCTCCTGGCTCAGGCCCTAATGTGGCCCTGTTACCCTGGTGCCCGACGGAAATAGGAGGCCGGCAGCCTGCCAGAGCGGGGCAGTCCAGCCAAGATCGAGAGGGGGTGGAGGGGGTAAGGAATCTCCACCTCCTCCCCTGGGGTTGCCTTGTCTGCTGCCCACAACACCCAGGGTACCTCCTCCCCAGACCAGCTGGCCAAGATCCAAAGCCCCCTCAAAACAAACAAACATGCTCCTAGACCGGGCTGGGATTCCCCCCACCCCAAGCTGTAGCATTCAAGGCTGTATGATGTGTCTTGTATAGCACCCATACACACAGACAACAGCCCCAGCTAAAGGGAACTAGAGACACTCCATCAAGCCCCCATGGGCCCCCCATGTTCCTGGAGCTGACAAATGATCCCTCTGCCCCTCCTCAAGAGAGCCAGCTGCTCTTACACCCCCCTCACCACAGCCCCCAGACACACCTGACAGCTGCAGGAAGTCCTCGCCGGCTCCCTCAGCACCCCCACCCCACCCCCCACCATGCCCAGGGAGCCCCTGTTTCTTTCACACTGCTCTCTTGTCCCGATCCAGCTGGCGACCAGCACTGAGAGCCCCAGCTGGCTAGTGGAGCAGGCAGCTGGGGTGAGAGTTTGGGGGAGTCAGCATCCCAGGCTCTCTTTCCAAGGCCTCTCTCAGTGTTTGGAGAGGAGGTACCCAAAGGGACAGCCATTTCCTGGCCTGAGCCCTGATTTGGGGGGGGGGTGAACACACTCCAGCAATCAGTCCTTCTTCCCCATCCCCCTGTCATCCACCCCAAAGCTTGTGGAGCCAGCCAGGCGCAGCCTCCCCTCTGTCCCAGTGAATCCCCCGTCTGAGGCCGGGGTCACAGATAATGGACCAGACCAGGCAGAGGTCACACTGGAGCGGACTCTTCCCCAAACCCTGGGAGGAAATGTCCACAGTTCAGAAAGGAACGCCCACGGCCTACCTCCCACCAGCACCACTCTGAAGGAGGCCAGGGACCTGATCCCGGGAGACAATGGAAGCAGGATTACTCCCTCGGCTCCCAGGCGGGGCTGCTGGGTGACAGTGGCCAGATGAAAAACCCTAGGCACCCCCTGAAAGATGTGCCCCAAATGCACCAGAACCCCGTGCCTGACTCTCCCTCGGACACAAGGTAAGAACAAGCCTCAGCAGCTTGCTCGGCAATCCAGCTGTGAGACGCTGTAAGAAAAGAAAAGCATGGTCAGGGGTCTGAGCTCAGGCCAGGTCTGGGACCCCTTGCTCCCAGTCCTGGAAAACAGCTCCCACCTTCTGGCCCACCTTTGTCCTGTCAGCTATTGCCCTCTGCCGGCCAAGAGAGAAAATGCTGGATCTCCAAGGAGAAGGAGCAGTGGTCCCATAAATATGGATGGTGACCTTACTTTCTAAAGCAAACGGGGACGTTTGGCTTGATACGCATATTTGAACGGACTGTCCACGGGAATGTCCAGGAAACAGGGATGCAGTGCCCGGAAATGACTAAACCCAAAAGCAAGCCCAGAGGCCAGCGGAATTGGGACCCAGAGACACTGAGGCCAATGCCAGCACCAGTAATTCATCACCACTGACTCACCCCGCCCCGCAACTCCCCACAGCAACACCAATGCTTCACCCAGCCTCCCGGGAGCGTAGACACCCCTCACTCCTGGCTGCAGTGCGCAGGGCCGGGCCCTCCGCTCACCATCAGATGATGGGGCAAGGGCCCGGGCACCTGACTGTCCCCCAGGCTTCCCCCATTACCTGCAGGGCCTCCGAGCCCCCAGGCAGGCGCTGATATGCAGATCTCTCCCCCATGGAACCCAAACTGCCCGCGTTAAGGCCAGGAGGGGAGCAGCGCCCTCCCGCAGCCCCCGCCCCGCCAGCGGCACCGGCGGCGTCACTGCCCTGCGTCCTGCGGGGCCGGGCCTGAGCATCCTCTAGTCTGGAGTCTAGGAGAAGGGCAGGGCCGCTAAAGCACATCGGCCGGGGGAGCTCTGGTCCTGGCCCCCACCCCGCACGCACCCCACGGCCTCCTTTCCACCCCCCACCCGCTGGCAAGAGCCCCCGCGGTTGCTGTCTCTCCGGCTCCGACCGCGGCAGGCCCCTCCCCCAATCCTGTCCTGTCTGCACCAACCAGCCGCTGCCTCTCCGCAGGGCCACAGCCTGATCCCCAGACCCATGGCTCCCCTGGGCCCCTTGGTCTCCGGGATCCCAAAGCTCCACAGCCACCAGCTTGGCTCTGGGGATTCAAGGGTCCCCATATTCCATGATGGGGGGGGGGGTCCATCCAAGAAGCATACAGAAGAGAAGCAGCCCCTGTCCTGAACCAACCTGGGACCCCTCCCTCTAGACATGGGGCCTGAAGCCTATCCCTCCACCAGCGTAGCTTCCACTGAGCTCCAGGAATGAGCCCACCTGCCGGCTCCCGGCGGCTCCTCTTCACTCCGCTCCACCTTCTCTTCCAGCCGCAAACCTGCCCGGCCCAGCGCGGTGGGAGCCACGCCTCCTCCGGCACCGCCCCAGCCCCCACCACCCTACGCCTCTTCGTAGCCGGGCCTTGACCTTTCCCTCCCGCCCCCTCCCCCAGATAGCCCGGGCTGTGCGCGCGGGAGGGCAGGGCAGAGCGCTGGGGCTGACCTCTCCGGCCTCCGAAGAGCGCCCCGCGTGCCCACACTGCCTGCCCGAGGAGCTGCCCCTATACCTGCCCACCACGAACTGTCACCCAGCATCCAGGTGAGGCCACAGCTGGCAGAGGAAGCCTCACTGCAGAGGCTCCTCCTCCCCGCCAGCCACCAGGGCTTCGAGGCGAACGCACACCCTCTCATTTTGCTGGCATCTGAAGCATCCACTGACTCCACAGTAACAGGTATTTACGGCTGAGCTCAGGGAACTTCACCCCTTTTAGGAGGAGAGAGATGCTGAGACACCCGGCCACACACTCAACCTCAAGAGTGAGGCGAGATCCCAGGCAGGCACTAGGTGAGTTTTCCATAAGGCTCCCCCTCCTCACAAGCTCGGTCGCAACCCTAAGTATGCCCCTGCCAGGCAGCGGTTTATGCGAGGCAGAAGCTCCTCTGCGTCTTACTGCAGCTACGACAGAAACTAGTTTTGGGGGTAGCTGCAAGAACCCCGAGTCAGATGGCTGTGGAGAAAGAGGCTGAAAATGCCAGGCCCGTTCTTTCTTCTCCTGGTTGGGTGAAGGGTCTGATCCAAACCATTCCTCCTTCCAGCTTTTCTCTCCCTTCCTCCTCCCCTATAAGCCCCCTGCCGTCTTGTTATAAAGATACCACAGATCCAACCTGCCTCTAGGATTTGGGGAATCCCGCCCACGCGCACACCTCTCTGGTCTGTAACTTGCCCCCATATCTCTAAAAGGGAGCGGGAGTAGCCCGGAATCTGCTGTTCACCCCCCTCCCCCAGCCTCTCCAACAGCATCAGTGAAGTGACAAATCCATACTGAGGAGCAGACGTGACATGTAATTTCCGGCCAAGAGGATTTTTCCAAAACAATCTACCGTATTCTCGGGAATATATGCCAGTCCCACCTCCAAGCCAGCCCTCTGCCACCTCTGCCCTCCCTCTTCTCCAAGCCCTAGAGGAAAAACAACATATTGGGTAATGCTGGTAGCTCCTCTCTCAGCCAGAGGATTATCTTGCTTTACATGTCAGTCCCACCAAGCCCAGGCAGCTTCAACTCACCCTCTGTGAGCAGGACCCAAGCTTCTGGATCCAGGCCAGGCTGGTTCCCCTCAGGTCCTCATCCCAGAGGGAATGCATTAGGCAGCCCCACACCTTCAGGTCAGCCCAGGTCTGACATCATACTGGTTTGAGGAGGAGGCTGGCCAGGGGCCACAGGAGAGAAGGGGATGATTCAGATACATACCATGGCTGTTCACACCCTCTCCATCTCCAGGACACAGCGGCCCACTCCCTCCCAGGGGAGCTTGGCATCTGAGATCCTGAGGACTGGCAAGGCTGAGGCATACTTGGCAGCAGCGCTGGGCCCACAGGCCCTGAGTCCAGCCCTAAAGCCTCTTCGCCCTTCTCGTTAACTGTTGGTGTTTCCTAAGACTTTTGCACTCTCCCTTCTCAATGGATGTTCTGTCCGTGGGTCGTCACCTCTCCTCCTAGAACTCTGATTACCACCATGAGCTATCTGTCTCTGTTCCCGAGTTCCTGAAGCCCTAGACCAGTGGTTCTCAACCTTCCTAATGCAGTTCCTCATGTTGTGGTGACCCCCAATTTCATTGTTACAAATTGAACATAACTAAACATAGTGATTAATCACAAAACAATATGTAATTATATATGTGTTTTCCGATGGTCTTAGGCGACCCCTGTGAAAGGGTTGTTCAACCCCCAAAGGGTCGGCGACCCACAGGTTGAGAACCGCTGCTCTAGACCCACATTTCTACACATTACAGGACAGCCCCACCAGGAGGACGCATAGGTAGGTACCACTAATTCTGAGCTCATCATGAACCATTTAAACCTAGCTCATGGGTGC